TCAGTAACCTCTTTGTTAAGCTTCAAGCCCCCTTGATCACGTCAGGTCCAGACAAACTGGTCTTTTCCACTTCTCCTGCGTTGCCCTCGTCCCTGGGCACAAGCCCAACATCCCAGAAGGGCACACTGGCAGCCAAGCCAGGCTTCTGCTCAGTGGCTCCAGCTGCCTGGCCAGCCCTCCACATGCTGCACAGCTCCTGTCCACTCAAGCCCGGCTCCCCGGAGTAGGAGAGAAAACAACCATCCACTTGTCCTCAGGTTTCTCCATCGCTCCTTTCCCCTTACTAGAACGAGATCCCGGCAAGTAGATTTTTTTGGTAGGGGAGGGGGGATAACAATAGCACCGCCTGACAGTTACTGAGCGCCTATGCTAGGCACAGCCTGTTCCGTGTGCTCTACATATATTGACTCCTTAGTCCCCACAACAAACCTAAAAAGCAGATACTGTTATCATCCCCATTTTATAGGTGAGAAAACCAAGGCACAGAGTTTCTCCAGACATTGTAACTAGTAAGCAATGAACTGAGGTCCAAAGCCCCTAAGAATAGTCCACCAAAGACACAGGCGGCCTGAAGCCTGGTGAGGATTCACCGATGTCCAGGGTCATAGTGATGAAGATCCTGTTGTCACCGCCTGTCAGAGTCAGCAGAGGGGCTCGCTCTTCTCTCTTCTCCAGCATCGGAACCCTAGTGACCAGCAAGGAGCAGAGGGTCCTGCGCTCTACAGAGCGGTCCAGCTGCTGTGGGCCAGGCTTACTGAGGTCAAATCCATGTATCATCCAAGTCACCACTTTAAAGTGTACGATTCAGTAGCTTTCCATACATTCACAATATTGTGCACCCACCACCTCTATCTAGTTCCAAAACATCATCATCCCTCCCAAAGGGAACCCATATCCACGCAACATTTGTTCAGCCTCCCCCTGCCTCTAACCCCTAGAAAGCATCAGTCTGCTTTCTGTCTCTATAGATTTACCTATTTTTGATATTTCATACAGAGGGAATCATGCAATATGTAGGCATTTGTATCTAGCTTCTTTCACTTGACATGTTTTCTAGATTTGTCCACATTGTAACATGTAACATCATTCCTTTTTATGGCTGAATGATATTCCATTGTGTGGACGCACTGCATTTGTTTATCCTTGCTGGGTTTTAAAAAGAGTCCTTCCAAGATCCTAACAAGTTCACATCACAGAGGTCATGCTGCTGACATAAAGGCACAGCTTTGAGAAACCTCACCCTGCTACAGTCAAAGGGAATCTGGAGAAGCAGCCTGCTCTAAGGGAGCACCCTGGCTAGGTTAAAACTCAAAGGGCTGCTTAATGAGTGAAAAGGGCTGTGAGGCAAGCAGCAGGGAGGGTCACTGGGCACCTGCAGGGTCTAAAAGCATTTAAATTCAAAGATCCTTAAAAAAAAACGCTGTGCTGGCCAAGTAGAACCTTAGGGTGGGTCACTTTCAATCTCTGCTGTGTTTGTAACCCTGGCTTGGCATTCTTTGGGGAGACTATGGCACCAGCTCTCACTTTGGCATTAAAATCTCCACTAATACAAAAACAAAAGTCCTGGCAAGTTGAATTTCAAGGTCTAGCAGAGAGATTGGTGGACTCCCAAACACTGAATAAGCCCAAAATGTTCCATGTGTGCTGTACCCAGACAGAGAGAAGATGAATGCTGACTCTACTAGGGATTAAAAGCAGCCTTAATACCCGGCTCCAGACAGTTTTGGAGAATTAGATCTCTACCTCCGAGTCTGCTGATACAGAAACAGCTAATCCTTCCTGTCCGTACCTTTCCCTGGAGGTTTTAACTGCAGAATCTGGAGAATGGGTGACAGTCTCAGAGGACAGGAGTATCACCTGTGGAACCAGGAGCCTAGCAAGCACAAAAGGTTGAAATCTTCTAAGTTAAAGAGTTCTGTTTTATAAAATTGTTTTCTTTATCCCATTACATTCCAAAGCAACAGATTTGGGACATTTACTGGTATTCAGCCCTGTGGTTCTCCAGTGTATAGAGTCACAGATCACTTGGGGAGATTGTTCAAATCAGATTCTCAGTCCTCACCAGGAGGTTGACTTCAGGGGGGGGTCTCTGGGGCTTAGGAATCTGCATTTTACCAGGCTAACAGGTGGCCCATGGGCCACACTTTGACAAACCCCAATCTAGTGAATATACTTATAAACAGTCAACCTGGAATTATAGCTGTTGAATCAGAGTCTAGATTATACCAGTTGTCTAAACCTCTGAGCCCAGATTAGGGAATTCATAGAATATCATGTCTCTTTTGTTTGCTCATGCACTCAATGAGTATTTATGGAGAATCGTAGGTAAGACAGATATGAATCCTGTTGCTTATAGAACTTACATTCTAGTCAAGATCATTGAATGGGGCAAATAGTAATACATATGGAAACAGATTCTCTAGGGGTTGAGAGGGATCGTGAGCGTGCGTTAGAGTGACTGCCACACTCTGCGTCTCCTCAGCAGTGTCTCTGCTGAGCATGGACCCCCTCAGTGTGTTCATAAATACTCCCAGGGACGGGAGGCGCACTCTGAACACGAGCCCATTCAGTCCTCGGTCGTCGGGATTTTCCTTCCCTGGAGCTTCTGCCCTTAGTCCTTGTTCTACTTTATAAGACACCCCAACAAGTGAACCCCTTCTTCCCACAGAGAGGTGCTAAAATATCCAAAGGCCATTTCCACCCCTCCATTAAGTTTTGTCTTCTCCTGGTGAAGACTCTGCCTTTCGGCCTAATTCTGGGTCCCTTCTCCGTCCCGATGACTTCCTCCTCTGCGTGAATTCCACCCTGTGTCTTCCTTTTTTTAAATTCAAAGGTGGGATCCACCCTGTCATTCATTCATTTCTTTTTAAACACGTGAGCCAGGTACTATTTTAGACTCTGGGGTTAAAGTCCTTAGAAGAGAATAATGCCCTTCACTGTGGACGTCTTCTTTCTGTTGGTGTCACGTCGAGATCCTGACTAATGGCAGAAGCTCATCCAACCATGATTTCATAGGGGGCTTTGTGAGCAGTCACCTTTGCTACCTTTATTTACCTAAATTTATGGCTAACCACCAACCACCAATTTTTCCCTCTTGAATTTAGATTATATACCACCAACTCCCAAATTTCTGATTTTTTTCAAGTCTTATTTCTTTCTCCCTTTCTGTTCTCCCTCCTCACTTCTCATGTAAACTGCTTTCCCGTATGCACAGTGCTGAAGCCGTTTGTGGCTAAGCTTTACTTCAGAGCAGGCATGTGACGGCACGAAGAGACTGGTCTGACTGAGCCCATCACTTTACACATCATTTCCTCCCGTGAGAACTTCTGCCTGACCTTTTACCTTTCCTGTGCCTCTTTCACTCCGTCTCATGTCCTTGTCAGGCATCTGTGTCCACTACATCCATGTCCTGCAGTGACCTGTACCATGTGCTTCCTGCCAGAGCCACAGTGGTAAACAGCTCCTGGTGGACGCAGCAGCGGCCCGGGAGGACCCGGAAATGCTCTCTCTAATCACTCCCCAAAGCAGAGCCCCCCACCCACCACTTGGTAGTGGACACACCCTAGGATTGCGAGGATCAAGCCACAGACCCAGAGTCCCTCTACTGGGCTCTCAGAGCTACTGCACTTCCCATTACAAGGACCTAAATTCGTGTTGAATTACTGGGAACATCCGAGAACATCAGCAAACAAGAATCAAAGATCTCTGTCCCACAAATGACAAAACTGGCCCTAGAATTAGAATTTTGGAGATAGAAATCATCTTCAAGACCATCCGGTTCCCACCTAATCGTTATCGGATGCGGGAACTGGATCCCGTATGGAGGGTGTGTTAAGGACCACGCTGAGCTGAGCACCCAGGGCTCTTCGTGCTGGGCCCCTCTTCTGCCCGCCACACTCTCAAGTCTAGTTGTTCAATCTCACACCATCCCCCTGCCGCCCAGCCAGCATTGCAGCCCTCGGGGTTCCAGGCAACAAACAATAATGGAAGGCATATCCTAAAAACAAAGTCAGACAAACAAATGCCATCTGGGTGCTCAGGAATCCAGCCATTTGCTGGCTCCTTTCCTTTTAAGGCTGGTTACAAGAGGACTGGCACCAGAGGGATAATATGTTCCTATTTTTCCCTCTAATCCAGGACACCTGTCCCTTCTTTGAAGAATGTGTAGTATTTGGGGCTGCTTCTCAACATGTGACCAGCCACCTGCTGCTCATGCCTTTCCAAATTGGCCTCTTGAATTTGGGGCCAACCAACTGGACCCCCCAACCCGCAATAAAATGTGAGCATTTGCATTATACTAAATTTGAAGAGTCTGGAGGAATGAGCACATTGAGACAGTGCTCTGAAGCAGAATGTACGCCACGACACCCTCTCCCCTTCAATGTGATAGCTCTGGTAGACTGCCACAAGTCTTTGAAGAGAAAGGAAGGTTGAAGTTTGCCACAGCCTGCCACTTTATTTCACCTCCACTACCATTCATTCATGCAACAAATATTTATTGACCACCTGCTATGTGTCACTCACTGCCAATCATCCACTTATCTGTTGACCCCACAAATGTGTACGGGGCCTCCTCCAACAGCCAAGTCCCATGCTGGATGCTGTAGCAATGAATAAAGCTCAGCTCCTGCCCAGAGGAGCTCCTAAGTTAGTTGGGGCAATAAATCCACAAGCTACTGTGATATAAGATTGTATATGTTGAGAGAAATACAAAGAATTATGGATTACAAAGGAGAGAGAAGTCACTCCCAGCTGGCAGGTAAGGAACTTTGTAAGAAGATGCCATGTGAGACCTGGACCTTATGGATGGGTAGGATTTGGACAGGAGGAAAGAGTGTGTGGATGGCTGAAACCCGTACTGCAGAGAACCCATACTGCAGAGAAACTCCTGGCTACTGTGTAGGGTGCATATGCCGCTATGGGAGGTGGGGGACAAGGAGAAACTCCAAAAGGTGGTGGGTGTGAAGGGTCTGAGCCATTGTTATTTTCCTGACCCTTAGGTTCTGAGGTTTGGCACCCCATCTGCAAACATGCAGCCCGGGCAGAGAAGAAGTTGAAGGTAAGCAAGCTGGTAGTGGTAACAGACCAGCTACTTTTTGACCCAGGTTAGGGGCTACTGTGCTTCAGTAGAGAGTCATTCCTTAGTGTGCACACTCCCAGGTGTGTGCCAGTGTCCTTACATTTCCTTAATAGTAACACCTCCGTCATGGGGCTTTTGACAGGAGAAAGACATTGGATATGACAGCACTTTGAAAACTGTAAAGCACTGTATTAATGTGAGTTCATAGGGTCTCTGAGTCAGGCTTTACCAGTATTTACCAAGACGGCAGCCTCTCTGAGCTGTGCATGCTGATGTTTCTCTCCAGCCTAAGGTTACTAATAATAGTTTATATTGTCATAGGAATTGACAGTTTGCAAACATCTTCACAGCCACTGTCTGATTTGATTTATTGGGGCAGATGGGGCAAGGAATTTTATCTTCCCTTTGTTTGTGAGAAAACCAAGGTCTAAAATGGGCAGTAATTTGTCCACAATAACACAACCAGGCATGACCAGAGCCAGTGTCCCCAGGCACACGCTCGACCAACTGCAGTCCTGTGTCCCTCTGCACTGCTGTGCTCTGACAAGTACCAGGAAGTCCTGTGACTCTGGGATCTTGATCCACACACTGCAGGAAGGGGCCCAGCTCCTGGTGTGGGGGGGGAACCTAAAATGTGCGCTGAGGGAACACTTGATGATGTCCATGGTCCTGTACACCCCAGCCCCTGGGGATCAACTTGGGCCCCTGGGGCTCTATTAGAAGTTACCTGTAAGAGTCTCAACTAAAAATGTAGGTGTACAATTTCTGACCAGGTGCTTAAACCTGGTCTCCTTTGCCATCTCATCCACCTAATCTAAGTTTTGCAAAAGAGCTGGCCTTTTGATACATAATTTTTTTTTGAGCCATGAGTTTTTTTCCCTGTTTCTTCCAAGGCCTCTCCCATGTAAGTTGTAAGAAGACCTAATTTTCCTTTTCTCATTCAACTTCCTTTTTGATGTCATTTCTCAAGTTTCAGTTCTCCATCTCCAACCTTGATGTTTTTTTGCTGTATTTGTATACTACCTATATCGCTATATGTTTAATATTTTTCTTTAAATCAACTCACTATTTTTTACTTAACACTTTTTACTTAAAATTAATTTTCAAATAAAACTTTATATCACCAAGTCAAAAATCTATATTATTTCCCACAAGTAGAAGGTAATCATAAAATATATTCAATTAAAGTGAAGTGAATCCCGTTTTTAAAATAAAATTTTGTATACATAAATATATTATATATAGTTGATAAACAATATCATACTGGTTTTGTATATACCATTATTAAATGCTTATCCCAACTATCTGTCAACATAGAAAGATGTTACAGAACTATGACTATGTTCTCTATGCTGTACTTTGATCCCCTTGACTACTTTATATTATGATTGAGATCTTATGCCTCTTTATCCCCTTCACCTCTTCACCCACCCACCCTAACACCTCCCCTATTGTAACCACCAATCACTTCTCAGTGTCTGTAAGTTTATTGCTATTTTGCCCATTTTGTTCTGTTTTGGTTTTAGATTCCACATATAAATGAAATCATATGGTGATTGTCTTTCTGTGCCTGGCTTATTTCACTTAACATAATATCCTCTAGGTCCATCCATGTTGTCCAAAAGGGCAGGATTTCTTTCTTTTTTATGGCTGAATAATTTCCATTGTGTATATGGACCACATCTTTTTTATCCATAGAAGAAATAATTCTTAAGAATACATCTTAAAAATTCCAGCTAAATCATATTGCCTGCTCTCTGTTCAAAAAAGGAGGAAATTAGCAATTACTGAGAAAGTTGTTGAAGTATATGAGCATCAAATTAAGACTTCTTCCTTGATCTAAACAAGAGGATTGAAATAGAATCTTACATTATACTCTCCCACTCTATGACTCAGTATTATCAAATGTTCCACCTAAATGCATCTCCTGAGAGCCACCACTAGTCCATGATCCACAGTTTGGGAAACATTTCTATATAGCCTCACTTAGCATGATTGTAGGATGAGAGATCTGGAAGGGAATTTAGCAATCCCTATGACCAGCCCCTTCATTTTCATCAGGAATCTAAGGTCCCCAAAATCACATAGTTCATTAGTGGTCCTTGCTTCCCAGTCTGTTTACTTTTTAATCACAACATGCTGCCACTCTGTTAAATGCACTAACACTGATATAGTGTTTTCTGTTAAGGGTGCCATTTATTCATCATTACTATTGTTCATAGAAAATTTTTTTAAGTTTATCACTTAAGTCGCTGTTGATTTGCAATGCATATACTATAAAGAATTAGTATATTATGCAATTATGTCAAGTTTAACATACTTCTACATTTTACATAAACAAACTGCTAAGGAATGAGTATTAACCTACTTTATTCATTTACACTAAATATATTACTGACTGGGATAACCCAAAATGAAAAGCTCTATGAGTAGCTTCTTATCTAAGAAGACAGTTAAAAATATGTGAAGCACAAATCCACATCCTGTCCAACAGCCAAATCCAACAGTGTTTCTCTTTCATTCACACTCGGAAACTGATTAAAAAGGCATAAAATAAAGAGAAAGTGGATGAATAGCCAGAGAGTACTTCTACCAGAATTGGTAGTGTTCCTGGAGAGCTGTGTTCCTGGGCCCCCGCCGCGCCCTCCCCACCAAATGGAAGGTGCAGCTTCTCACTTGTCTCTCCCTCTCTCCCACAGCACAGGCGGACGTCAGAAACTTCCATCTCACCACCTGGGTCCAGCATTGGGTCGCCCAACCGAGTCATCTGTGTATGTATCACTTTTCAGCCCCTGAAATGCCTTTTTTTAGTCCCAGACCTGGCATCTAAAGGGTTTCTAAGGACAGCTGGAGACAGCCGTTTGGTTTTTATCCAGCTGACATCTAGTGTATGCCTGTCATGTGCTGGGCTCTGTGCTAGGTGCTGAGAATACAGTGGGGTGCAGAGAGCCTGGATTCTGTCCTCATGGAGCACGCAGCCTGATAAACAGTTCAGTGGGAGCAAGAAAAAGAAAGTGCAAAGACAGCAGTGGCCCATGAAAGGCTCTCAAACCAGTGCAAGGTGCCTCCTTCCCCATTACTTAACTGAGACAAGGGAAGATCAGAGTAGGTATTGGGTGGGAAGTCAGTGTGGAGATAGTGTGTGTGGTAATGAGGCAGAAAGGGGGAGGAAGCCATATGCATATAGAGACATGGCCACAGTGGATTTGCACAGATAAAGAAGCACTTTCTCATTACATAAGAAGTCCCGGGATGGAGGAGCCCCATGTGTGTGTCTGAGCGCCCATCCCAGAGGCATTCAGACAGACAACTCATTATTTGCGGGGATATGGCAAAAAGGGCCACAGGTGAGTAGATGATCTCCGAAGTCCCTTGGATTCATACATTCATTCCACAAATGTGTGCCGAGAGTCTGTTGTGTGGTAAGTTCTGGGCTCTGCACTGGAAAACATTGGTGAACGGCGGCAGCCTGAGCACCTAATTCCACAGACAGTCAGTCGCAGTTCTGGCAAGTTCTAGGAAGAAAAAGTGCAGGGTGTTCTGATGATGCTACAGGTGACCAGAGGGGCCTGGTGATTTAGGACCAACTGGCAGAAGAGCCCCGAGGAAGAAATAAAAGGGCAAACCTGAGAGATGAACAGAAATCAGCTCAAGGAGGCGGGGAGACAGAGCCTGGAGGCCTGAGAGCAGCAGAGGAGGGGCCGATGGCCAGCAGCTTCAGTCTGACTCCAGACTGTTCAGCCTTCCTCAAGGCAAAGTAGCCAGGAACTCCAGAAATGGGGCAGAAATGGTCTGCAGCAGGAAACCCATTCTTTTAATAAGAAGTCTAGATACAGCCCCCTAACCAGCCAGCCCTGGCTGTGCCCTGCCCACCATTACTGTATCATTATTTTACCCCAAATCCAGTTTCCTCCTTGATCCCTGGATAATGCCCATGGATGGGACTGTTTCCTTTCCTTTCTTCCTCTTTTCAAATGAGAAAAAAAATTCTTAAGAGCTGTCATTGACTGCACACGGATCAGTACTGCCATGTGGCTTCCATAAAAGACAAGTGACTTTGATCACAGGCTGTACTCATTGAAGATTCCTGTCCAGAACAGGAGAAATGATCATCCCCTCGGTGCTCTGAAGAGGGCCAGACCACAGCAGGATCAATAAGCTTAGCTTCAGGGCCCACACCATAAGAGTGTCATCAACAAAAGTGAGCACGTCTCCAGAAGAGAGTTTCTAGGGTATTCAAGGTGAGGATCTGTATAGCTGTGCCACAATGCCTTTAATCCCTGGCTGGTCTCCCCTGCTACTGAGGAGCCTCTCTGACTTTTGTGAACTGAATCAGGCCCTGATGGTGTTCACCCTGAAGTCTGGAGAAAGCTTGCAGAGTTGCCCCAGTGAGAGGGCAGCTCAACTGCAGATGAACAGCAGCAGCTGGGACACCTGCCGTCGTGGCCTTGAGCTGGGAGCTTCTGCACTGAGACAGTTACCCCAGGGTGGGCAAGCATCCCCCCTTTGTGCTTCGCTGTCCTTGTTTTTTGGTGCCTCCCTTCAGCTGCTCTGGGAGTGACTGCACATGTCACACGAGCTGTGTTTTAAGTCAGGCCATTCCAAACACGGCTTCCAAATTCAGAGAAGGATCCATCCAGTCACTTTCAGACATGCAATAACAGGCAGAGACAGAGTGTTGGTTTAATTTTCACTGACACTGAGGCTCAGTACTAAAATAGAATCACCAGTGCCCCTGGAAGGGGGCGGGTCCTTTCAGACTTTGCTCCTCCCCCCCCCCCCCCC